TGTGTGTGTGTGTGTGTGAACGTAAGGGCAGCTAGCTGCTAACGTTAGCTTAGCGGTACCGCTGACATTCACAGCAGCCAACCAAACACCGGCTCCATTGGCGACAGGAACTGTAACGTTACCTGGTTTGACAAATAACATAACTATTATAAGCAGGGCTCCGCAGCTGGTTTTTTGTTGGTGTGTCAACAATAAAGAGCGCGGGGCGAAGAGGCTAAGCTAAGTTAACGTTAGCTGTAACAAAGTCGGTGCTGACGCGGTTACCTTCTCGTCCATCGACGTCTCCTCGGCCGTATGTGTTTCTTCGTTATCCCCCGACATGTCTATGTTACTACCGTGATCTCGGACAAGCGATAGCTCACTAGTTGGACAAGTGATCCACAAATCCCCTGCTCTGACTTTCCGTACCCATACGAGTCCTGCCGAGCGCGCAATCCCGCAGAAGAAATACTACGTCACATGCGGAGACACCATGCGCGCTCACGCTCTGGCACTCCTGCCGTGCACCCGCATTCAGTGGTAGATGGGATTTGCATTGCGTAACGTACCGATCAGCTGTTAGACCCATGTGCTGTAACACAAATCCAGATTTCAGTCAAATAATCCTCAGATCTGGAGGATGATGAATGCTGCACTGATTTAACACCGTGCAGTTCATTTTGCATGCGTTCCCGTATCACTATTTCTTATTTTGTGGCGGAAGGTGAGGTATGCGGTTGCTGAGCAGCACAGCATACACACACTTTAGGGTCAGCAACAGACTTACAGCCTGACTTTGTCACCGTGCAAAATATATTATGCATGCAAATCTGGTGATCCTGTGCAGATGGATTTGAGTGGCTGCCATATTAAATGACCACCACCTATTTGCAGCCCTGTGTGCCAAACTGACAGCAGTACTGAGTGTGAAGTGGTTGACAACTGCTGACATCAAGCCACATCTCCCAGCATTAAGAGTGAGGGAATGTATCAGTGTGCTACACACCGACTCATATTTATACCTCTGAATATTATTTAAAAACTTTTGGGGCAATGCAGTTTTGTCTATAACTAATTTGATCACATTCAGACTTTTGACCTTTTAGACTAGATTATTTTGGACGAAATCTGCATTTCTTTGGCACTTCTTATGATCCTAAAATATGTCGATGTGCAAATATGTTGAACTCTCATTTGCCAGTTGCCATGATAAATGTGTTCAGGATCTACCATCCACAGACACGACGGGTTGCTTCTGTGTTTGTGTTAATTATGGTTATAAAACCAACAAGTGTAAAAAAAACTTCTAGAAGCCATTCTGGTCCCTCTCAAGTCAACCCCGTTACCAATTCTAGCATTGCATTAGTTTTGTTTCATCTATTTTTATAGATTTTGAAAGGTATTTAGAAGTCAAATAACACTGGTAACAGGGCTGACAGCAAAACTGATTATACATTTTTGTTTACCAACTTGTATATAATTCCCCAAACCCACAGCTGCACCTGATCTGTTGTTTAATTCATATTATCCATTTTAAGACCAATTTCAAAATCATTTTAATTAAAAACGATTACTAGGAACCCATGACATAATCATCTGCTGGTCATCTTTGTTAATTATTTCAACGTTGGTGGCTGTATGGAGCTGTAGAGGTAGAACAGGAAACATGACGGGACAAATAATAACACAAAGAGACAAAGCAGCTTTCAAGATTGCTTTAGAAGATATATAGATATATTTTTTCAGATTTGAATATTAATGTCAAAAATACATACTATGATATACAGTTTGCACTACATCATCTTAGCATGACAGACGTCACAAGTAGTAACTGAAATATTAATTTAAATATTAAATAAACTGATGGTTAAGTAAACTGAAAAGTGAATGTGTAAACACTAAACTAAGGTTACTCTTCCTATTGCAACACTTCCAATAAAGTGGTTCTGTAACAGTACAAAAGTATTAGAATATTACTATTTTCTGTTTCATTTCCAGTTATAATGAGAAAGAAAATCCACAGTGCACTTCTGATGTTCTGCTGTGATGCTTTCAGTTGAATCTAGCTTGATTGCTTGTTCGACTTCTTTAGTGGTCCATGGTGTGTGTGTTGGTTGGTTTCTTTCGGACGTAGGGATGGCGTCGCACCACAGTCTGCCACCCGCTTCCTCTTCCATACGCACTCCCTCTGCTCCGAGCTCAGGAATCACCGGGTCAAAAGCTGTGTTCAATCAGTATAATCTTCAAAGATTTAAAATAAAATGTTTAACCAGTAAAGGGCCTTGTATTGAATTTATAATGAAACTAATTGAGATTGAACACTTATTCATTATGAGGTCCAATTACATTGTGATTTGTGTAAACAGAGTGAAGTAGCCTAAACTCTGCTGAAGTGTCTAACTGCTTCTGTAGACAATCACTGGTCTCTACTCTCCTGCTAGTCACTGGAGGGGATACACACAACAGCAGGAAAAAGAGTTACCTATCATATCTGGTAAGGCCTTCTTAACCAGGAGAATGGGATCTGAAACATACTCTTTAACCGTTAACCGTAACCTTTGACCCAAAGTCGTGCACTTATCGACAAGATTTTATTTCTGGCCAGTCTCCCAGCCTCTTAGCCCCCCCCCCCCC